GCTCAGATAATACAGCCCTAGATCCACAATCGAAATTCGTTTCCGTCCACTCCATATTCATTTCAGAATCAATCGCTTTCCACTCCGATTCCCTATCAACATGTCATCATATACAAAGTCACGCAAACCCTGTCCTCCGATCCGCAACCTACTTGCGGATCCGTCAACCTCCAACCACACTAGTGACCAGCTCACTGGTGTGGATCCAGATCTCACGGTCCCTCGTGAGACTGCATCACACCATAACGGTTGGGATTGGTGCGATCTCGCAAGAACTCATAGAGAAGAGCACCGCAGTTGAGATCTGCCTCATCTACCCAAGTTGGATCCTCGTATCCGCGCCAATGTATCAGAAATTCTCAGTAGATCCGTCCATACCTAGTCCTTTTGCCAGTCCTCATATCGGAAATTCGCTCCACTTCGTATTCATCTGGATCCTGATCCTGGGTCCAGCTGTCTTCCCGTGGAGGGCCTCATCGAGTTCCACCCGACCTCCTTCTTCCCCATTTAGACGAGCAATGGGTCGATCTGGGAACATCTTGACCAGTTTGATCTTCGAAACATTCACTACCGGGAAAGTGCTGTATGTTGATCCTGCGACTTCCAACCTCACTGCGTATTCCCCAATCTTTTCGGCGACTGGGCCATGCCACAAATGCGCCAGCTTCCTCGCGCGCCCAATCTAAATATAACCAGACGCTTGATCCAGACACTACAGGATGAGGACGTACTAGATCATTATTCGTATCGGCCCGATCCGCGATCGCCTCGCGCAAATGTTGGTTCACTTGTTCTCGTGCCTGCTGATAGTACATCTGCAATCGATATCGCCATCTTCTCGGATCTCGATCGTGCCTGCGAGTGCTCCTCACCGGGATCGCTGCTTCCAAGGTAGATCTAGGGTCCCAGCCATGTATCATGTAGAAAGGGGTTTCGCCTCAGATCCGATCTTTTGCAGTGTTGATCGCGAAGGTGAGTCGCTCAGCATACCCGTCCCAATCTCGTTGATCTAGGTCCTCCACATACATCTTAAGAGCCCTGGTAGTTGTCTGGACCATACGTTCTGCGGATCCATTAGTTTGGGGACGATAACCCATGGTAGCCCGTTGGCGTTGTCCCAGGGTCTTGTTGAAAGACTTAAAGAAGTCGAACATAAAGCCTGGATTCCGATCGTGCCGGATCACCTCGCTCGAGCCAAATCGGCGGAAGACACATTTTGCGTAGGTCTCGGCGATTGTCAGAGCGGATCTAGAGGCGCGGGCTTTGGCGATCACATATCCCGAGAATAGATCCACGAAGATCAGCAATTCGGTATTGCCATTGAAGGATCTAGGCAATGAAGGTATGTGATCCATAGCGATGATCTGGAATGAGTATGTCGCCTGAAGGTTACCAGGTGACTCGCCCTGGATCCGGAGTCGTCTTTTGCCTGTTTCACAATCAACACATTCCCCACATATCGCTATAAACTCTTGTACAGCCCTCTCCAGTGAAAATGATCACGGATCCGATCATTGGTGTGGCCGATCCCTTGATGGTCACCCTGTAGATTGGTGTGACAGTGATGCAAAATGTCCTGTTGAAGCGTCTCAGGTACCACCAGTCGCTTCAACTTATATCGATCTGCAGCGGTTTCCTTAGTCGTCGGGCAATAGAAGAGTAGATCCAACTGATCCACTTCATAATTCATAGCAATAGATCCAAACATCCTAGCCTCTTCTTGCGTCAGATCCCGGATCTGCCCGACCAAATACTTCTTCAAGCCCATGATCCACGACTCCTCGTCCTGCGCTTGTCGGATCCGCTCGATCCGTAGCTCTCTCACGTAGGGAGTCTGGATCTGATCCAATACGCACTCCCGATCTAGCCTTAGATCGGGTCATCACAGATGATATCTGTGCGATCTCGTCTTCGACTTTCACTATCAGGATCTTATCCAACCGATTTAAGATTATGAGATCCTGGATCTCTATGTCTGACTCTATCTCGATCCCACATTGCCGTTGCAGGGCAGCACTTGCTAAGCTGTCAGCACTCCCATTCCAGTCTCGTTTGACGTGTAACAGCGCATGACCTGGCCAAGTACGTAGTCGATCCGAAGCTCGCTGGCGTAACAGTGTCAGACCCGGCGCCTTACAATCAACCTCTCCTCGTACTTGTCGGATCACCAGGTTTGAGGCTCCGCAGATCACCAGCCGTCGTGATCCAGATCTTCTAACAGATCCATACATAGCAACAACCCATGATATTCCGCCTCATTTACCGTCAAGCCTTCGGCTTACCCTGATCTAGCCTTCACACACTCCATTCGGACAGCTTCCACAGAATCGCGCTATAGGCGCCTCCCCCTCTCTTGACACGGGCCGATCCATCGAAACTGACGACGTATAGCTCCTCATCTCGTCTAATAGTGGGGATCGGAGCTTGGATCTTGCGTCTTGGCTCCTTTTTAGGGGCAATTGAGATCAATGCTTTATCCACTTCTGATCTAGGGGTAATATTGACCGCCAGTGCTCCTAAGATCTCGACACACTTGGTGATCTCAAGTGTCCAGGGCGACAACAGAGCAGCCCACTGTCCTAGACGTCCTTGTAGGGCTGTGGAGAGCCACGCCAACGTTGAGTGTCGGGTCAACACATGGATCGTCACCCGACCAACGCATTATAGTCAAGATCCAGGATCCTCAGAAGTGCTAATACCTCCTTCTTCGGGATGCCATAGTTTAGCTCATTCGACTTCAGAGTACGGCTTGCAAACATCACGGGGTAATAGATCTGGTCGTATTCCTGCATCACTGATCCCGAAACGGCCCAATTGCTAGCATACACCACAACTGTGGCCTTCCGATCTGGGTCAAAATGCCGTAAGGTCCGAGTGGTAGCGATCCTGGTTTTAAGCACACTGAAGGACCGATGGACATGGATCCAGCGCGGATCTACCTCAGTAGGATCTGGCGCCTCCAGATCTAAGGTCTTTCGGTGGTCGACATCCTGATCTTCCTGCGATCATTGATCCACATTCTCCACCTCTAGTACTTGTTGGATCCGCGCTTGGGTAGCTTCCTTCATCATCGCAACAAAAAATCGATTTCTCGCAATTCGTACAGAACCGACGCATAGATCGCGTAGTCTTCGATAAATTGGCTATAATAGTTCAGACTTCCCAAAAATGACTGCATAGCTCTGAGTGATCTTGGAAATGCTAGATCAGTCAATGCAGACAGATCTTTTGGATTCGCCTCCAGTCCATTGTGAGAGACCCTATGCTTGAGATATTCCACCTTAGTCATTCTCCAGAAACGCTTAACCACACTGATCGACAAATTCCACTCATCACACGCTTCGAGCAAACCTTCGACTCGATCACATAGTTGATCCCAGTTGTTGGCGCGAATCAAGATGTCATCGATATATGATCCGCGACCAAGCACCTATGGGTTACCTGGATCTACTGGTTCCCCATCTTCAACACATACAGAGTACTTCCGTGATCTTCAGACCTCTGGATCCGGGTGAATCCATATAGCGTGTTGTCGATCATACGTTGATAGATCCGGCGCGCATTCTTCAAGCCAAAAGGCATTCGATTCCATTCAAATAACCCGAACGGCGTGAAAAAAGCCGAGATCAAACAAGCACGATCCGTCATTTTCACTACCCAAAATCCGCTCGCCATATCCAAAGAACTGTACCAAAGTGTCGACTCCAGATCTTCGAGTAGGTCGTTGATCAAGGGCATTGGGTATACCATCAGCTGAGTTAGACTATTAAGCAGTCGATAATCGATGTATAGCCTGATATCCACTACATTATTCTTGATGATCATCACGATCGGGGAGCCCCGTGATGATCTAGAGTAGTTGATCATCTTGGCGGACAATAGACCCTTGATCAAGTCTGCCAGCTTCTCCCTGAACTGGAACCGCAACATATGACACTTCAGGGCGATAGGCCTCGCTCCTCCAACGTCGATATCGCATACCACATCTCTAGCCGCCGGCGGAAGGGCATTTCCCTTGCCGATCAAGAGATGTCGGAACTTCCAGATCCTTTGGCGAAGTCGATCAATTTCTTCTGGGTCTGATTATCAGATCCACATAACAGAATGTCCTCGATCCTCACATCTTCCGTCGTCACAGGCACTTCCAGCAGTACCGCCATCTGACCATCGACGTCTTCCGCGTACAGATCACTTCCTCCATGGTAGTATACACATTCATCATAATCTTGGTCTGAGTCCCACATAAGGTCCAGATTCGACGCGCCTGGTTGATCTTCAATAGCAGGTGGTGGGTCCATGTCCGTTTTTTTTTTCGACATAGACGCGACGCACTTACCTTTCAACGGATCACTGGCCAGACATGTCCTGTCCCAAGCTGTACACTCATCATTGATGACAGATCTGATCCACCGTATTTCGACGGTGATGTTCCTTGATCCTGACACCTCAAATGTAGCTGATCCTGGTTGGCGACCCCAATTCCATCCCGATCTTCTTCTTCTCGAGCCTCCACTGCACTTGTAGTCTCTTCCAACGGCGGATCTGTCGTTCGGACGTCTGGCGATATCTGATCGGGATCTTCCAGCGCCTCCTTGGCCG